GCTAGTTCTTTTTACAATGCCTTCTTCAATTTTGTCTCCTCTCTGCGCTTTCTTCAATCATGTCTGGTTCACTGTGGCCCTCAGGCATGGAGGTTGAAAACTAGGAATATGAGCCATGTCTAATACAACGAAGTATACAGTAACTTTGGGATTTTATTCCTATATAATAATTCAAACTATGGGAATCAATTGGAGTTATTCTTATAGATGTGGTATTAAGTTTGAATATGCTTATTCAGGTTTCACTTATTTGTTATTGTTAAATTTAGGATGGCCCGCACTATGGAACCACTGGCAAAGAAGATCTTTAAAGGAGTTTTAGTAGCTGAACTTGTGGGCATTTTTGGAGCCTATTTTTTGTTTAAAAAGATGAACACAAGCCAAGGTAATCATACTTCAGAAATTAGTGTTTTCTAGAGGGCTATATAGTCTGCTAATGCCTTTTAGGTTAAATGGCCTTTTTAGAGAAACTGCGTCTTCAGATTCAATGTATTTAAGCATTTTATGGGCACATGAGGGAGAAGCTAAGTGTTATAAATGACTCTTAACTTCTCCCTGAAGAAAAAAAATTGTAGACTAGGGAAGATGTTTCACACTTCCATGGATTTTACTAGGTGCGGGGTAGGAATAAACAAGTGTCCCTGGTCTGGCTCAGTTTGGGAACACAGAGAAAATTCAGCCTGTCCACTATGCCACATTGTTTGGTGGACTGAGAAAGCAAGAAATAACATAGCTGAATTATCAAGTAACCAGATTCTCAGGCTAGCAGAGTTCTTCCTTGCACCAGTACTGGGGGCACTAAGAGCCTTTCCCATGCCACTGGCCATCACTGAAAGTGCTTTGACATTTTGTGGGGGAAATTTTATGTTAGAACTCTCAACTTTAAAAATCAGGAAATGTTTTCTCTTTCTCTGAAGCAGGGAATGGTAGTCCTGGGGTGGTGTCCATCTTTGAAACTTGTCTGTCTTAAAGCACTTCACTGGAACACTGTTCCAGGATGCTGGTGGATATTCACAAAGTCTCTATACTTTTAAATTGTAAGTAAAGGTATAAAAGAAAACATTACCAGGAGGACTTTAACACAAATGTCTGATTCCTATCTTATAGACCCTAAAGGTAGTATTAAATTATGGTTCCATGTGTTAATATAATAAGTTTCTAATCATGCCTAATTTTGACTTTTTTCATTAGATTTCAGGCAAACAATGAGCAAGAAATTTCCCTTCATCTTAGAAGGTATGTTTTTCCTTAAGTAAAAATGACTACAAAACAACTTCCTCAGGTAACCTATAAATGAAGTAATTTCTTTATGACCAGTTAAGGGCTAAATGACTTTAATTTTGTGATGTCAATTTCCAAAATTACTGTTCATCCCCATTTTCACTTCTGAGAATACAGAGTGGAGAAAACTTTTATCCAGGGATGAGAGTAGTTAGCTAATGGGCTAATACAGCTAATGGGTGGGTTCTTAATTCTTCTTGTCTAAGAATGTAGACTTTGGAATGAGACATATCTGAGGGTGATGGAATCAAACCACAGCTTAAAATTTAAGAGCAATCTCTGGTTTGCTAACTTCTTGGAGCTTTTCTTGTCTCTGTCAAGTAGAGATAATAATGCCCATCTTATGAACTGTTACGAGGATTAAACAAGATCACATTACATAATTACTTTGCACAGTTATCTGGTACAAAAGTAATGCTTAGTAAATAGCTCTCTTTACAATGATTATTAAAGATGCTAGAGCTTATACACAGCATATGTATTCTACCATCATCTTTACCTATCATCTTTTTCATTTTACTATGCAGAAATAAGGAAGAAAAGCTTGGTTTTTCTCAATATAGTTTAATTTTAACACTTTTACATGATTTTGTAAATGACAGCTGTTTTTATTTATAGTTTATTACAAATCCATTGAACAGTCTGGAATATATGGAATTAGAGAGCAAGATCAAGAAAAATGGCTGAACAGCAAAAATTAGAAGTAAGTAGAATTTTGATTTGTGATTTATTTAGAAAACACTCATTTTCTTTGCTTTTTAATTTTCAGAGTGGTTTTTGGCCTCTTTTTGAAATTTCTCTTTCTCTTAATGATGCTTTTCACATCTCTGTTGTGTAACCAGTCATCGCGTTCAGCCTCCCATCTAAGCTGTTTGAAACCTTTGGAGAGGAGAAGAAAGGTGAGCACACTGTAGACTCTTGGAGGCCCCATGGAACATCCTACTGAGTAATAGGAACTTCCGGTCTGCCATGGCCTACAGTCATTTCCCATCCACCATGCAAACCCCCTGCTTGTTGGCTGCTTTCCTTCCATATTTATCATCAAAGACGACAGGAAAGGAACAAGTGCTTTAAAGATTTTATTTCCCCTGAACACTTTTACTGGTGAAAGAAGAGAAGCCAGTAACTATCAATATCAGACATAATTAAAATGTCTTTAAAGTACTTAATAAAGTTAGCTAGCAAATTCATACCACGTAAAAATAGCCTGCCTTTGTAAAATAAAAACAAAAACCTAATTTTCATAGGCTGTAATACTTTTTTGCTATAGTCTATAAATACATTTTAATCCTGTGTGCTCCCTTAACAGTGAGATAAAAAAGCTATTCCTTCTAGGTTTTAAGGAACCATTTTACCCCTTCTTACTATAAAAAGGTCCTCCAAAAATATTCATATCTTCAGAAATTCTAAGTTAAGGCTATTTTAAAACCTTAATAAAAATTCAAGTTACTTACTTGCATTATCTTTGTTAGCCATGGCATTCATTCCAATGTAATCAAACTTGGATCCCATATTTTCATCCAATAGGTGGCCAAACTGAGGGGGTGGAGGGAGAGGATACATTTATTAGAAAACTTAAAACAATGTACAAGAGCTAACTGCCTAAGACAGCAGGTTAGCCTTACCTCTTCAGCAGATACAAATAGGTTGGAGTCACTGAGGTTTCTTTTCTTTCTTTTTCTCTGTCCTTAAAAAAAAAAGTATAAACCTAGATTATTAAATTGTAAATCCGATTATTTTGGAAAAAATACAATCTTTCAACATGGTTTTGTTAAAAAATATATATATATGGGTTAAAACACAATTACAGTTATCTTCTAGCATCATTAGGTAGCTGGCATTTAAAGACAGAAATGTAACTTATTTAAGAGTTAGTATATAGTATTATTTAAAAAGTTAATATCCTAATAGAACTGTTCAGATGACAGTAGTGTCTTGCTGCCTTTCAGATTTGACCATCGATCAAGGTTTACCCTGTTTCATAGTATCAGGCAAGATTAAAATTCCAAAGTTGACGTGGATGGATTTTAGAATATTTAAGGTTAAATACAGGGAAGAAACTGATGGAAGGTTTGCTTATTATGTTATAAATGGAATTTTATTTATACTACTCAAAATAAAGTTGTTCTCCTTAAAAAAAAAAACAAAACTCCCTTGTAATTCTGAATATCTAATGTTTCAAAATAGATAATAGTAAAACATCTATTTTTAATATTTGTTACATTTTAATTTATTACATTTTAACTCACACATTTAAAATTGCATTGTCTAAAAATATATTGACTAGAAATACTGCTTTTATCCATTTTCTTGAAACAACATTATACTCTATTGACATCAATGTCTTTAGTGTTACTAGAATCACTTTAAAAAAACAACTTGACTAAGGAATAAAATTCAGTTGTTTTAAGTGTATAATTCAGTAATTTTTAGTAAATTTACAAAGTTGTTCTACTGTCATCACAATGCAATTTTAGAACATTTTCCATCAACTCTAAAAGATTCCTGCTGCCCCTCTGCAGTTACATGCTCTCTCCTTTGCCTTTTCTGGCTATTTCATATAAATGGAATCATGTGATACGTGATTTTCTGTATCTAGGTGCTTTTACTTAGCATAGCATTCTGGAGGCTCATCTATATTACAGCATTTATCAGTACCTCATTCCATTTTATTGCTGAATAATATGCCACTATATGGGATTTCATTTTTTGCTTCTATATTCATCAGTCAATGGATATTTAGGTGGTTCCTACTTTTTGGCTATTAGAAAAATGCTTTTAAGAACAACTGTCTACAAGCCTTTGCATGGACAGATGAGGCCTACTTTTGACAACAGTTTCTAGAGCATTTCACTTTAATTTTAATCGAGGTGAAATGTGTATTAAGAACTGTGCATGATGCTATAGTTGAATATTTCATCCCAAGCTAAAATTCCCATTTGTGTATTATCAGGAAGGGTTTTCTGGTTTTCATTCATCCTGTGGGTATGTATCTAAAACTTCCTTTAGCAAGCACCTCTCCTTTACTGCCTTCTTAAAGTTTCCTTAAGGTTTGTTTATTCTTAGGGATAGCCAACATTTGCAAATGTAGGGTGAAATCTCCCCAGGATCAATTAGTAAGTCTCTTACAAATTTCTTTGCCTCTTTTTTAAAAATCAGGTATCTTTTAATCTGCATCCAAAACTACTATCCATTGAGATTTGAGATCCTTTCAGGCTAATGTCTTCTGAAATAGTACTTTATTATTCAAAATAAGGTCAATGAGAGAGCATCTTTTAATATGGCAGGCTCATAAGGACTTAAGACAAAGCAATATTTCTTTTCTAAGAGACTTTGAGGAAAACTCTGCCTTAAGAGCATATGCTACTATTAAAGTGTGACCTTACATCCTCGATGAAGGATGAAATTTTGAAAATAACATGTTATGATGTAAATATGCATCAGCTGAATCAATCTAGTTAAAAGGACTTGATGTCAGCCGTACTTCAAAGGGCTAATACAAATTTTGTAGGCATAAAAGTCTCTCAGGGACTTTTATATATACTTTATATACTTTTACCAATATATAGTTATTATTTTTGATATTTATTGTCAAAAAACATTTTTAATATTTAATTTTAATAAAATATTGTCAAGCATTTTAATTACTTCTAATTTGCAAGTCTATTTTTATTCATCGGTATTTACAGCTAACCCCCGAACAACACGGGGTTTAGGGGCACCCATCCCCAGTGCAGCTGAAAACAGGCATATGTATTTACAGTCATCCTCAGATTCACCCAACTATGGACCATGTAGTACTGGTCCCATGCAGTTTAAACTTGTTGTTCAAGGGTCAGCTGTATTTGCAGAAACTAAAGAGGCATCAGAAGCAAAGCATTAAAAAAAAAAAGTAAGCCCGTGCAAATTTATCCACAAATTAAGGAATAAAATATTTATATTATAGTGCTTTCTATGTTTTTATCAAAAACTTTAAAAACTGTCACCTGATACAGTGCCTTTTTTTTTTAGCACTGCAGAAGTGTGAACATTAAAAGGCATAATCCATTAATATGCTTTAAAAAAAAGTCAAATTCTTTCTGCTAATTTGTTCTATTTTATATATTTTTGAGGTTACAATCATTTTGTCATGGCAGCAAAATGGGAAATCTCATAAAAAAGGAAAATGACGTTAATAAAGAGCATAGGTTTTCAGATGGGTCAAATGGCAAGGGTAAGAGGTGGTTGAAAAGGAAAAAGGCAACAGGTGTCTGGAAAATCCAGGGCTTACATATTACTGAATGGTTTAAACATGAATGAAAAGATGATCTAGATCTATTTAAATAAGAGGAAGGAATTTAGGAAGAGAAAATAATTGAAGGTGTATGTGGGAAACAGCAATCTTCATATATTAAAAATACATAAAACTTATTATCCGTTATAAAAACAAAAATTGTATTAACCAATTCAGAGGAGTTAATTTCCCCAAATGATAATGAACAATAGCTTTCACGTGCATAATGCTTAGATTTAAAAGAGATTAAATTCATTTTCTTACCTTGAAATGACCCAGCAAAGTCAAAATCATTTGCACCTTTTCTCTTGTTTTTCTTACTGTTGACTTTGGAACTGACTTCATCATCAAGTTCTGTTGCCAAAAAACGCTGTTATTAAGCAATTTAAAAACAGCAGAGCTGCTATAGGGCTATAATGATGAATACTGATTAACTTTTAAGAAACTGCTAATTACTATTGCAACATTTTTAAAAGGCAGTGTAACAGCTTAACAGCTATAGTACAGACTTGTTGAGTATAGTATAGGTACTCAACAGGTGCAGTATAATACAGCTGACCTTGATGAAAATAAAAGCCTGAAACTGAAAACTCAACTGCTTAAAAAAAAGAAAGAAAGAAAAAAAAGAAAGGAAAAAAAGAAAGGAAAGGGGAGGGGAGGGAAGGGAAAGGGAAAAGGAAAGGAAAGGAAAGGAAAGAAAAGAAAAAAGAGCAAAGCAAAGCTTCAGTTTCAAATGAGAGGGAAAAAGGTCCTCTTTCAAGTAATGGCCGATCTGGGTATTTATTTGAATACAGGGTAATGTTAAAAAAGACCAACAACAACAAAACCAAAAAGCAAAACCCTTCAACTGAAAAACTAGCCTATGCTGGGGAAGAAAGAGTTTGTTTCTATCTTCTATTTTAAAATGTTTACCTGGAATGCTCTCGTTTTCATCATCAAGCACATCCATGAATGTTCCTCCATCTTCCTCAATTCCAGTAAATTCCTCATTCATACTTCCTAAGGAGACTTCATCATCATCCAGGTTATCAAGGTCATCATCTTCTGAATCATCATCTTCTGAGTCATCCCTAGCTCCTTTTGCTTTCTTTTTCACGTTGCTGCAGAAAAAGAACAACTTGTAATGTAGAAGAGGACACTGTTTTCTAAAGTATATTTTGGTGAACAGCAGGTTACTAGGCTATTAACAGAATTCAAAAGAGAGGTACGAGCCTCTCCTTTACTTACTGTACTAACGAGCCTTTATTTACTATACTCAGCTCCGAGCCTTTATTTACTATACTAATGAGCATTATAAAAGTCTAAAAAATGAAAGTACTATATCTATTTCCCAAACTTATTTCAATACCTTTCTCCTATACATCACAGAGTCCTGTGCTCATGTTCTACTGTTCTGAGGGACAATAATTTGGGAAATGCTGGGAAAACAGTAAGGAAAAAACAAACAAAAAACCCCCTATTACTGAAGAAAAGTATTTTACCTAGCAAAATCAAGGTCATCCTTTCCAGAGGTGAAACAATTATCATCTTCAAAAGTGTCTGCCAGAGAACAATACACAAATGATGAGATACAGCAAGGAGTAATGTGTCGTATGTCTGAATCAGTTAACACAGTCATGAGCCTGC